AGTATTGCTGAGCCAACGCAAAACGACCGAGTGGCCGCTTTAGAGAGGAAGGTGGACATACTTACAGGACAACTGACGGCTTTGGAGTTAAACCGATCACCGAAGTGCTGTAGAAGCAGATCCTGTAGTCGTGATAGGACCATGAGTAGAATTGCGTCTAAAAGTAGCACATGCTGGTATCACAAGGAGTTTGGCAGTAAAGCACGTCGTTGTTTGTTACCATGCGATTTTAAAACCTTTTCGTCGGGAAACGGAAAGGCCGGCGATCAGTGACGACTGCTGTCGCCGGCGTACAACAACAGTCGTTTGTTTCGAGTGACAGATAGGAAGACTGGAGCTCAGTTTCTGGTTGACACTGGAGTGGAAGTGAGCGTGATCCCACCCACGCCTTCCGAAAAACTCCATCCCAACCCAACTTTGGTACTACAAGCGGCAAATAGATCTGCTATTACTACATATGGGACCAGAATTTTGATCCTAGACATTGGCTTTCATACACCATTCCAGTGGAAATTCGTCATAGCTGACATGTCATTGCCTATCATTGGCATGGATTTCCTTCAACACTACGAACTACTGGTCGACTCTAGTCGCCATAGACTAGTCAGCCGTAATGGTGAATTTTCTATCACCGGTATCGCTACGGAGACAAAAACAGTAAACTTAGTCGTAGCTCCAAACGGATTACACAAAGTCCTCTCCAAAACATACGGTGACGCACCATATTCTTACAAAAGGTCCTCCAGTCTCATCAAAACCTCGACGCTTAGACGCTACGAAGCTGTGGATAGCAAAACAGGAATTTGATAAACTTCCAAATTTGGGAGTTATACGCCCTTCCAAAAGCCCATGGTCATCACCCCTGCATATGGTACTTAAAAAAGCATCAGGGGAAATACGGCCTTGCAGTGATTATCGAGCGTTGAATAAGCGTACGGTCCCTGATAAGTATCCAATTCTTCACATACATGATTTTATGAACTCTATGACAAAAGTAAATATTTTTTCCAAGATTGACCTCGTGCGAGCTTACTATCACATTATTGTGGAACCCAATGATGTTCCTAAGACGGCCATCACTACTCCCTTCGGACTATTCGAATTTCATCGTATGGCATTTGAAACAATTGGTCCCTTTAATAAATTTCGATAACGCTATTAGAAGACGAAGATTATCTGAAAAATGTGATGTATTTGCGCAATACATTTCGAACAATCTGATCACACATTTACTTGTCAAGTCAATTTATATATGAAAATTAAAGGTCAAATATATAGAATATGAAAAGGTTGTGACACTAGTCTTGGTAACATAATCAGATAAGGGTTACCAAGGTAAATTAAGTGAAACAACAAACTGTTTTTGTACACACAGTGGGGGATTAAGTTTACGAATGGCTAACGCTTCGGCAAACTTCAGTATACGCCCCTGATTATTCCTGTATATTATCTTAAACGCTGTTTTCGTATTAACCCTGTGATTCATTTCAATAATATGTTTTGCTATAGATGACGATGGATGTCTGTCACCTGCACTTATCAAAGTTTGTGTGTTAAACTGTTTTTCTAGCCATTTGGGGATGTGTTCACCCACCCTAGTCTGCATTGAACGATTACTCCTCCCGATGTATGTGTGCCCACACATACATGTAAATTGGTAAACGCAGTTGGATGTGATGTAATCATTTGTGCGAGGTTGAGGTTTGTGGTGAAGCAGGTGTTTTGTCGTCTCAACAATTATAAGCTGAGCTGCATAGTATGTTTTACTGATAACAGATTTTAATCTCTGCTTCAATATCATACTACTTGTTTCCCCCCTGTATGGTACTTTAAGAAATATGCTTTTCTTCGGGACCGAGGAAACTGTAGGCTTTGGGGTCAACTGCTTTTTACAATGGTTGACAAACTGTAATGGATAACCGTTTTCCACTAGAGTGTCTGTCAGAAACTTATTCTCATCATCCATCGTATCAGATGTACAAATACGTTGGATTCTATTGAACAAGCATCTTACCAAGCCTCTCTTATATTTCATCGGACAAAAACTATGAAAATTCAAATACTGTCCTGTCCAAGTAGACTTCCTATATATTGATCGTTTTATAGATCCATCTTCCCTCCGGCACAAGAGTATATCAAGAAATGCAAGTTGATGATCTTTTTCTTCCTCACATGTCAGACTGATATGATCTTGTACGGTATTAAGCCTTTTTAATAACCTCTTGGCATCCTCATCTGTGTCACATATTACAAGGATATCATCCACATACCTTCTATAAAGTGTGACATTGGTGATTAAATCTTGGGCCATTAGTTCAGTATGTGACATATATACGTCAGCTAATAACGGTCCTAATGGACTCCCCATGGCTACACCATCAATTTGCCGAAAGTGTTCACCTTCGAAAGTGAAATGAACCTTATCAGTACATAATAAAAGCAGTTCTTTCAAATAAGTTGAAGGAATAGGGAAAGAAGGATAATTCGAAGATATGTGGTCACAAAGAATATTAATTGTCTTCGTTAGAGGCACATTTGTAAACAGAGAGTTAACATCAAAAGAATACATTTTCTTATTTTTAATATTCAAATCAGTAAGATAATCAACAAGTTCAAACGTATCTTTCAGTGAATACTTACATAAATCATTACGAATCGGGCTCAGTAATTCGGCTAACCACCTCGCCAATTTGTGTGTGGGAGACTGACACATTGACAATATTGGGCGTAGTGGATTATCAATTTTGTGAATTTTTGGAAGTCCATATAGATTTGGGAAATTAGATCCCATGGGTTTCAAGGAATTAAACTCCGCTTTAGCAATGACATCCGTGTTAAGGAGTTTAACTAGACTAGTTGTTACTTTTCTTTCTAATTTTCTTATATCCTCTGATGGAACATCTGTCAAGAATTTACTTTTGTCACAAAGAATAGACAACATTTTATTTTTGTAGTCTGCTTTGTCCATCAACACAACACCTGATCCTTTATCAGGCTTAAGAATTATCACATCAGTATGTGAGAAAGAATCTCTTTCCCTTGGATTTAATTTTTCTGTCCCATACCATCATAACAATGATTTAGCCTTCGATGCCCATTTCGAAAATTTATATGATCAGTTTACTTCTCTAGTCCCTACCTCTTCGGACAACCAGAGTTGGTTGAAGGCTAAACTAGTTGATATAGCCCATCAATTCCATAACCCAGGTCCGAAACAGAGATGCATTTTAACTACGCAACACTTCAAGTCCCTGAAAAACTTACAGAGGAATCCTGATGTGATAATTCTTAAGCCTGATAAAGGATCAGGTGTTGTGTTGATGGACAAAGCAGACTACAAAAATAAAATGTTGTCTATTCTTTGTGACAAAAGTAAATTCTTGACAGATGTTCCATCAGAGGATATAAGAAAATTAGAAAGAAAAGTAACAACTAGTCTAGTTAAACTCCTTAACACGGATGTCATTGCTAAAGCGGAGTTTAATTCCTTGAAACCCATGGGATCTAATTTCCCAAATCTATATGGACTTCCAAAAATTCACAAAATTGATAATCCACTACGCCCAATATTGTCAATGTGTCAGTCTCCCACACACAAATTGGCGAGGTGGTTAGCCGAATTACTGAGCCCGATTCGTAATGATTTATGTAAGTATTCACTGAAAGATACGTTTGAACTTGTTGATTATCTTACTGATTTGAATATTAAAAATAAGAAAATGTATTCTTTTGATGTTAACTCTCTGTTTACAAATGTGCCTCTAACGAAGACAATTAATATTCTTTGTGACCACATATCTTCGAATTATCCTTCTTTCCCTATTCCTTCAACTTATTTGAAAGAACTGCTTTTATTATGTACTGATAAGGTTCATTTCACTTTCGAAGGTGAACACTTTCGGCAAATTGATGGTGTAGCCATGGGGAGTCCATTAGGACCGTTATTAGCTGACGTATATATGTCACATACTGAACTAATGGCCCAAGATTTAATCACCAATGTCACACTTTATAGAAGGTATGTGGATGATATCCTTGTAATATGTGACACAGATGAGGATGCCAAGAGGTTATTAAAAAGGCTTAATACCGTACAAGATCATATCAGTCTGACATGTGAGGAAGAAAAAGATCATCAACTTGCATTTCTTGATATACTCTTGTGCCGGAGGGAAGATGGATCTATAAAACGATCAATATATAGGAAGTCTACTTGGACAGGACAGTATTTGAATTTTCATAGTTTTTGTCCGATGAAATATAAGAGAGGCTTGGTAAGATGCTTGTTCAATAGAATCCAACGTATTTGTACATCTGATACGATGGATGATGAGAATAAGTTTCTGACAGACACTCTAGTGGAAAACGGTTATCCATTACAGTTTGTCAACCATTGTAAAAAGCAGTTGACCCCAAAGCCTACAGTTTCCTCGGTCCCGAAGAAAAGCATATTTCTTAAAGTACCATACAGGGGGGAAACAAGTAGTATGATATTGAAGCAGAGATTAAAATCTGTTATCAGTAAAACATACTATGCAGCTCAGCTTATAATTGTTGAGACGACAAAACACCTGCTTCACCACAAACCTCAACCTCGCACAAATGATTACATCACATCCAACTGCGTTTACCAATTTACATGTATGTGTGGGCACACATACATCGGGAGGAGTAATCGTTCAATGCAGACTAGGGTGGGTGAACACATCCCCAAATGGCTAGAAAAACAGTTTAACACACAAACTTTGATAAGTGCAGGTGACAGACATCCATCGTCATCTATAGCAAAACATATTATTGAAATGAATCACAGGGTTAATACGAAAACAGCGTTTAAGATAATATACAGGAATAATCAGGGGCGTATACTGAAGTTTGCCGAAGCGTTAGCCATTCGTAAACTTAATCCCCCACTGTGTGTACAAAAACAGTTTGTTGTTTCACTTAATTTACCTTGGTAACCCTTATCTGATTATGTTACCAAGACTAGTGTCACAACCTTTTCATATTCTATATATTTGACCTTTAATTTTCATATATAAGTTGATTCGAGAAGTATGGCGTTTGGTTTGACAGATGCTGCTCAAACATTCCAAAGATTTATAGATCAGGTACTCCATGGCTTACCTTTCGTCAGTGCATACATAGATGACTTAATAGTAGCTAGCGCATCTGAAACAGAGCACCTGCAACATCTGAGGACGCTTTTCGAACGACTGCGTGAATATGGCATTACAATCAATCCACAGAAATGCGAATTTGGCAAGGAATCCCTACAGTTTTTGGGTCACATTGTTAATGCCAACGGTGTTAAACCGGTTCCGCAAGAAGTAGATGCAATTCGAGAATATCCTGTTCCAGACTCGTTTCGAAAGCTGCGAAGATTTCTGGGGTTAATAAACTTCTATCGACGTTTCATACCTAAATGTGCTGAAGTAGCCCAACCGCTGACAGATTTATTGCAAGGACGAGCCAAAGTGTTTCACATGACCCAAGCGGCCCATGATGCTTTTGACAAACTGAAGCTGGCTCTAAGTTCTGAAACTCTTCTCTCTCGTCGTGATTCAGAAGCACCACTAGCCATCATGACAGACGCTTCAAATGTTGCGGTAGGCGCAGTACTACAACAGTTTGTTCACGGTCAGTGGGAACCATTATCTTTCTTCTCGAAACGACTTAATGCTTCTCAATCGCGATACAGTACATTCGGCAGAGAGCTACTGGCGATTTACTTGGCTATCAAGCACTTCAGATATATGCTCGAAGGGTACTCATTTATAGTATTCACCGACCATAAGCCACTCACAAAAGCAATTGATGCAAAGCATGACAACTACTCGCCCCGAGAAATTCGACATTTAGAATTTATTTCACAATTCACTTCAGATATAAGGTATGTCAAAGGCAGCAAAAATGAGGCAGCTGATGCTTTGTCTCGTATGTACGTAAACGTCTTAGAACGTGACCATATTGACCTAGCAGAAATGGCAAAGTTGCAGGCCACGGATGAGGACTTGAAACATTTGAAAAACAATGTGAACACCTCATTACGTCTTGAAGAAGTGACACTTGATGACTCTGTATCCATCACCTGTGATGTATCCAAGGGTAAACCGCGCCCGTTTGTGCCTTTATCAATGAGACGATTAGTCTTCTCTAAGATGCATGGCATTTCACATCCTGGTATTCGAGCTACGGTGAAGTTAATTACTGACCGATACGTCTGGCCAAAGATGAATCGAGATCTTCGACAGTGGTCCAGAGCTTGTTTAGCGTGCCAGCGATCGAAAGTGCAAAGACATATTCTTTCACCTACGGGAAGATTTTCCCACCGGATGGCAGATTTGACCATATACACGTTGACATCGTTGGACCACTACCTCCGTCAAATGGTTTTAGCTACATTTTAACATGTGTAGACCGATTCACGAGATGGCCAGTGGCAATACCTCTGCAGGATATATCTGCCGAAACAGTAGCGAGAAATATCATCCAACACTGGATTTCTAACTTTGGTGTCCCAAGTGTCATCACCACAGATAGAGGTGCGCAGTTCGAGAGTAGTCTATTTCAACAGTTAACTGAACTTCTCGGGATCAAGCGCATAAGAACCACTGCGTACCATCCTGCATCCAATGGTATTGTCGAAAGGTTCCATCGACAACTAAAAGCAGCACTGATGGCAGTAAAGACTGATGACAAGTGGAGTGACAAATTACCACTAGTACTCCTTGGTATACGTTCGAGTGTCAAGCAGGACATTGGCTGCTGTACTGCTGAGTTAGTTTATGGAACTACTTTAAGATTGCCAGGAGAGTATTTTAACCCGGCAACAGACGTTCCACCGGACTTGACTAACTATGTACAACAACTACGGCGACACATGAGCACACTTCGACCTCAGTCCCCACGATACCGAGACAACCAAGTTTACGTACCTCAGTGCATCTCAAACTGCACTCACGTTTTCGTCCGACACGACGGCGTACGAAAACCCTTACAGGCCCCGTATGAAGGACCTTTCAAGGTAATTAGTAAATCAGACAAAGTTGTCACGGTCGAACGCTCGGGTAGACGAGAAACGGTCAGCATTGATAGAATCAAACCAGCGTTTATGGAACCAGATGTCACGGATACCAAGTCTGAACCCGCAGTGAAGCAACCAGAAACCACCGTCAAAACAGAAACAACGGCATCGGAATCACCCAATAGTAGCGACGGTAGCAGAACCACGAGATCCGGAGAAAGAGTCCGTTGGCCACGACGTTACTTTCAGACAATTTACATTTCATAAAACCAATTCCCTAGTAACATTATTATCGTTTTTGCTCATTACCTTGTTGAAAACATGACCACACGATTTTGTCAGACTTTTCCGTATGCACAAAACAAAAATTTTTTCCGGGCACCACGGACTTCCGAATCTCTTATTTCTTAACAATGTTCCAGGTAATACGATTTTGGTTGTTAATTTTTTTATCTCCGGATATATTATTACTTTGGTAAAGTTATTTTAGTGTTTCGAATGTCATACACTTCATTTTTATGTAAACACTCTTCCAATCAGTTTTCATCCTGATAATAGATATCCTTAACATTCCTTCTGTGTTTTTAATATCTTCAAAATGAATTTACCTTTCTCATAATATTTTATATCGAACACAGATATTCCCTCTTATATCTGTATTCTGGGGAGGGACTTATGTAGCATTTTATTTCACTGTATTGTGTTGATGTATATAACAACTCATTGAACATTTTTTGTTTAGTTGTACTGAAAAAGACTTTTTGCTCGCTCGTTGACTAATACAACATCCTGATATATACTTCGCGTTAACTCCTGATATTTACGCTGTCTGACGCAGGTGGATCAGCAGTGTCGGGAATTATAAATAGGCGATAGTGTATCTGGACACGTATATAAAATTTGGAGTCAGATTTCAGAGCTCGACACTCCTATGTGATAGGGGTATATGCGGTTATTTCTGGGAAGAATGAGGATAGGGCAAAACACATAATTATCGGTTAGTCCGCTCCCATATATTTCATATCGAAGACTTGCTGGAATTCTGCAGCTTAATATAAATATCCATTGAGCTGTCATGAAGCTTTGCCGTTTTCGTGCATCACGAATGTCAGACCTAAGGGGGCAAAACATTTTTGGGATTCTCAAGTAGTCTAATGCATTGCTATTGCCTTCTAAAAACTGCTGTTCTGCCTTCCAGGGGAACGGATTTTCTAATTTTGTGACTCTGAAGGCCAGTTCAACAGCGGCTAAAATCCTGTACACAATATTCTTCGGGCAAGTATAGTTAGCTGGCAATTCCTGAACTCTCTGGTTTGGGCATGAAAGTTAGTCAATTTTTTCGGCACCACTCCTTACGTCGTAGTGGAGGTCCTTTCTGCTTTCCTACGTTATCTTCTTGAAGAGTAAGATGACTGTGGGTTCCATCTGTTTTCAGCTTGCAGGCTGGTATGCAAAGAAGCTGCTGGGAAGAACGACGCCGTTTTGCGTCTCCTTTCTTTGTAGGGGTCTACAGTTACACAAGTCAGCATAAATCGGGCAACACGCTAAAGCAAAATTGGTGAAATGTAACTGGAAAAAGGAGGCTTATGCATAGTAGCGCTAAGTATTACTGGGATAGTGATCAGATGGGAATACGTTGGCACTATGTTGGATCAGAGAGGCCAGAGACTCAGCGTAGATAAGTGGTACACCATGTGCTGCAATATGTTTATCCAACTATCATTCAAATGACTTGAGCCACCGCTATTTCATGTGCTAAGGTATTCCGAACTACGTGCACTCTTGATGGAAGTAAACTGACACTAGTCTCGGTGTGAGCTCTTTGGTTTGCGGTTTTTACTGGGCTCCCATCGACTACCCACTCTAGGCTTATAATGATTGTTTTGCCGGATGATCCACTTGAAGAACATCCTTATACGCTGTTCCCCAGGGGAAACGGTGAATCGATTAGGCTGTCTGGGCCACTCGGAACCAGGGTTCCCCCTTAGGCCCGAAAAAATATCTCGTTGACATGGCGGGAGAGGTCTTGTAACTGAGGGTGAGGACGATGGTAGTTTGGTGCTACCTGACAAAATGTCAACGCTCAGAAAGTACCAGATTATTCTCACATTCCACTTCATCTTTATGTACCTCCAGCAGGATGTTTGAGTCACGTGATGGCAAGCAACTACGTTAGGAAATTCTAGATGTGATCTATCGAGAGTTCTGAACGCCGTGAGGAAGTGTTTAAGGGCGGCGGCCCCAAGCTGCCTCTGAATCAAGTGTTTAACAGGGACTACCTTTGCAGTCATTTCTCAACAGTCCTTCCTGGTTTCTAGAGTGGCGGAGAAACTGAGGCTTAAATCTTCGTGTTTAGTTACCTATGGGAAAGTGTAGCTTTTTGAGTATGGTTTGCCCCGCTGACTTCAGGAGTTTGAACGTACATAACTTTGTACTTCTGTGTGTTAACTTCTGTTCGATGCGAGAGAACTATTATCTTCCGTCTGGAAATCCAAAGTTGCCAAGAGACAACTCACGCCAAATTGTAACCTCCTTAAAATTCATGGCTCCAATTGAAATAGCATCCAGAAATGTCGGTGACAAATGCTATTTGCATCCAAACATGAAGGTTCTTCCACTCCTGACGACCACTCGCCTTGAAACGAAGCTAACCGAAAGTGACCTCATATGACGTGCCAACTATGGAGTCCAAGTGAATGGTTTGATGGTGAAACCTCATGTATTCCCCACCGTAATATGACAACAGTAGCTTGTTAGAATCGCATCTTTGCCTTAATTTATTCAAATGACCCCTTTTACGACATCATAGACCTAAATAATTGCTACATTCTGTATAACCCAAATTTCCCCACCGTTCAGCCCAGTATTCAACTCTGGTTTCGCTTGCCATCTATAGACAGTAACAATTTATCGAATACTGACATGCCTTCAGCTTCATTTGTTCTCAACATCTGATACCCAACACACTCTTATGGGTTATATGATTCACTATTGTCAAGATATTTCTTGTGCTGAGTGATAATGCCCGTTATAGTTTTAACTGCTACCGTTTTACGATATCACATTTATTCAGTATTTGCGACCAGCCATGTCCAAATAATTGCTTACTCCAGAAGACTGTATGGTGCGATGACATGCTTCCTTCTAAACTTTTTCAGCTTCGGTAAACAAATAACATTAAGACATTGCCTGCAAAAATGGCATGTGTTCATATAATTCATCGTTCGAAATATATTGTTATATTATTATAACACCTAACCGTTTCTTGTAGCTCAAGATTCCACTTTTAATCACTAATCTTAGTACCGTTCTCCATATATTGACGTCATCTGTAAGTGGTGATATTAGGGAGGAAACCGTCATGGGAATGCTGTTTGTGAAGAACATCAAAGAAATGGACCAAGAATTGCTCCTTGAGATACTTTGGATGTAGAGGTCCTTCACACAAACAAGGTTCTGTCGACTTTGGTACAAAATCCCCCCCTAAGTACGTCCTAACCTAAGAAATTGTAGGTTCACGGATTTCCGCCTCTAAAACTCTGTCAGTAATTTTTTGTGTGGAAACCATCAAAAGCGGGTCACAGGAGACGATGGAAACTCTTCACTCATTGTCCCAGTTGACTGTCCAATATCACAAAACCTTCCTTCTACGAAACTTCACTGAGTGCATTGAACAGCATTATTCCTGTTGAGGAATTATCCCACAGCATCCGCTATCAGCCCTTCTACTACCTTGAAAAGTATGTGTAATAAAACTGCCAGTCCATAAATGCATACGCGTTCTATGTCGTCCTCTGCATGCTGCCCACCAGATAGCTCGCTTCCTCTCTTTTGACATGCGTTTCTTTCCTAATGAATTTGTAAGCCGGCCCCTAAGAGATAAGTTTGGTTTCTTAGAGCATGTTTTCAGTACCTCGTCACAAACGTAAGATTTCCCTAGTTTGCGTTCCAACCACTTTTCAAAAATGTCACCGAAACATCTGTGGTTGCGAATGCATGTTAACGCTGATGGTTACCGCTGGGATTTGCGTTGAACACAAAGTAAAGAACCAACTCAACCATTTCTACACCACTAGACGTCTACCCGTCGGAATTCGTCGTGAGGTTAGTGACCTCTGTGATGAGGGTTATTTCAAAACTAGTGCATTCGAGGAGATATTAGCTTGTCTGTTTTGTGTCCAACCCCCCCAATATTCCTTAGCTCGTGAGTTAAGGCCCGAGTTGGAAGTGGGTTTTCTAAGTTAAAGAACTGTACCTGAAAGTTCAAGACCAAGCAGCTCTCTTTCTAACTGTTATTGGAGTCTATAAATGAATAGCTGTGGCGTGTGGTGCGTTTAGTTCTCCTCTTGTTTCTCGAGAAACTGGAGTGTTCTCTCTGGTTATCTTCTATCTGTTCGTCTAACTGACTTGAATTTGCCTACATATCACCGGTTCCTGCCGCCTATTCTTTTCTTCTCTCCGTACCAGGCTGTGAGGGCATCTGTTAGCTCTGCATGTAAGTTAAGAACGACAACCGAAGCCTTGGAACAAAGATGCTCTAGGGCTTGGTTGGTCTCGACCACCTTTCAATGCCGCATGACGGCTGCATATTAAGTTCGACGTTCACCTCTAACTACTGCAACGGTTCTGTCACTGTGGCAATTCCCGTCGTTTATGTGTTAATCTGCACAACTATGATGAAAGTCGTATTCTTGTCGTAAGACATACCATTGATCATAGTTTATCTGGCCTAGTTCCACTACGAAATGCACTAATTGCGTGCGGTTGCCTCTAGAAGAGGAGTACTCCTTTGCCTATTCCGAGCTTCCTGAAGATGTCTATAAGTGGTAGCAGTTTATCTTGATGGGTTAGTCGGCCGCGCGATAGCTGATCTGTGGGGATGTGGTTTTCCCGGTGCCTTGCAATACACTAGGATGAGACAACTGATCAGTACAGGTACAATACGAGTATGACAAATTGTGCCACATGTTGTATGTGGTGTATTGTACTTATGCTGTGTGATGTGATTATGCATGCAAGCTAAAAAAGTACCATATACTAACTATAATATTAGTGATTCACAAATTGCACAATCCACCTTGATATTTCTCACAGCTAAGTAGCTTTTCAACTGCCACTCGATTGTGGTGCCAGTTAGCAGGGTTATTGTTTCAAACCACTAACCAAGAAAGACGAAAAGGTGTGATCTCCAACACAAAAGTGTTCATGAACTACTACTGAACAACTTGATAGTTAGGAACAACTCACCTGATTCATGTGATCAGAGTGTATGAGACAAATTTGTCCAGGTACACCACTGATGAGCCGCTTTGACGCCAAATGAACGAAACAGCTATCTGGTGTTTAGATCACTGATCTGGCTGGGTGGCTAATGAAATTCACAGACCTTGCGTGAGTGATTAGGTCCTGACTACTCAAATTGTTCATCAGTACTGTGTGTACGAACTGTATAAATAAAACTTAAGGTTTAAACATTGGAGGTAGCATGAACTTTAGTCTCCCTCTTTCTTATACGGCTAAGTGGTACGTACCATCGGTTTTTTCTTAGTTGATTCAGCCCACAACACGAAGCTGCATTGGATTACATTGTTTATCGTAGTTTGTAGATTGAAGTAGCCGGAAGTGATCAGGTCAAGAATTGGCATGATGTAGTGACTTCAATAAAATGTTTGTGCTAATGATGTTGTCTAGAATGACACTGGAAGCTCTATGAATGAACCACCCAGCTCAGAGAACATAACAGTATCAAAATTATTTTCCTGAGCTACAAATGTTCTCCATCATCTCACCACCCAAC